ACCTTTCTCACAAAAATGTACCTCTTTTAAGCCCCAATAAGAAACTCCCAACCATACCATGAGCGAGGATGGAAAATGACCTCGTTGGACACGCGGAATACGGTTGCTCGCTTCTTCATCTTCACTACTGTGTGCGTACACCTTATCATTTTGTTTGTTGTAGCTCCCTTCTACGTTAAAATTTTTTCATCCGAAAAAAGCATTTCCCGATATTTTTTTCCCGCGTACCGCTTCAACAAAGCGCGGCATCTCTTCAGTCTCAGGTCCATTAGACGAGCATTCAAACGATGTCCTGTTTTTCTTCGATATGCCCGAAGCCCTAAGTCTTCATTTAACACCCTTTTCACCGTGGTTCTGCTTAACCCCATCTGAAGGGCCAACAGTTTCTGCTTACGTTTGGGATTTCTTTGAATTCGCGCCTTCACAGCTTTTATCACTGCTGAAGTCCTAACATACCGAGGGCGACCACTTCTTGACCTGTCATCTACACTAGAGTCTTCATTGTATCGTTTGATGGTACGATAAACGAATCTTTTGGTTATATTCAAATTTTTCAGTATGTCAAAAATTTAAATTGGCGCGTAACCGCAACGATGCAATGCAATAACTGCAACACGGTCCTCTTTAAGCGTCCACACCATATTTAAAAATGAGTAAAATTCTAAAAAGTATACAGTTTTATTTTCATGAACAATTCGAAATTCGAATTCAATAAACTTTTTTGTGGCCAGCATTCTAAAAGAAAAGTTTTTACTGTGTGATAATACTTATGACCTGACTAGGTATACAGTAATCTATGGGCACTCCGCACTTCGCTTACCAGTTAGGGATGGGCAAGGGAAAAATATCGATATATATCGAATCGATAGTTTTAAATAGTATCGATATATAATGCGGGAATAACATCGATATATCGACATCATTAGCAAAATGTAAGGATAAGGCCCAAAATTTTAATTACTGACGGTTGGACGACGAAAAAAACCACACATGAATGCTTTTTTGTAGCTCCTTTTGTTGTTTCATGTTTTGTCCATTAACACAACATTTTAAAATATATTAAAATTGATTCGAATTCGATACTCTAAAATAAATATCGATATATCGCGATTAAAAACATCGATTTTATGTATCGATATTTTTATGACAAAATATCGATATTTTGATGTGTCGATATTTTTTGCCCAAGCCTATTACCAGTGTCCTGCGGGACGTTGCCGAGGTAAGACCTGCGCCAAATTTCAAGCTAAGTCTGCGCATTTTACCATCTTCAGCTGCATCACCATTTACCATCAGGTGGGTCGGCACTGTCCTGTCACTGTTTAGATAAATAAATGGATAAATTAAGTACAGATGTACCTAATCCTAATTTATCTATTTATTTACCTAGGTAGCAGTACATCACGTCAGAGCTTCTTATAGTCAAATAAACCTCAGTTCCTGGGTAACCAAATATAACTTGACATTAGAAAAATCATTCTCACGTCTCACACCTATCTAGATGAACTTGGACAACACATACATTACAATATTATCTAGATGCAAAATTTCATCAAATTGGTTAGAGTCTTTTTCGAGAAACTAATTACATTTGTAGGTTAGTGCGCATACATAGGCATTGCTCGTTAAAGTTTATTTAAATAGGTGAAATCACGGGTGCCATTATTGGTGGATACTTGGGAGACAAGTTCGGACGGCGTCGGGTACTGCTCTTTGCGCTCATCTCGTCGGCTGTACTCAACGGCATCGCCAGCATCTCCGTCAACTGGGTCATGCTGTTGATTGTGCAGTCCCTCGCATCATTTTGGTAAGTATTTAAACAGATTGTTTAGTAAATCGTCTATGTATGTATGTTTTGGGGAAACTCAGTGAATCGGGACAAGGTATTCAACGCTCAAAAAAGGTGCATTCGAGCAATCGAAAATCTACACTGGACGGACAGCTGTAAACCACATTTTAAAGAGCTGCAAATTCTAACTTTTGCCTGTCTTTTTATCTATGAGACGGCTGTGTTTGTCCATAGAAACCTATCATTGTTCGCAAATTTAAATCTATAATACCTATCTATAATAAAATAAATATTATACAAAGCTTCAAGAATCATTAAAAACATTATTAATTGATACTTACTATTCGATTAATGAATATCTCACTGACATAGAAATTAAATAATTGTTTTGGTATACTCGACGGAAACTAGCTATCTGCGCAGGACTTTTATTCATGAGCGGAAACGAAATAGTTCGTATACCAAAATAAACTAAAAAATAAGTTAAATCTGGCAATTTTACCAATGGGAAGTCCACTTTGCCATCGGGGATGTACAGGTAGAAAATAACGATTAACATGAACAACGTAACACTAGGATTTTCTCCTGTATCGTGGAGGCAGTTTACAAACACAAATTTCACAAGGACAAACATCCAGACCCGGAACAATAATTTGTAGGCCATACAAATACTTGTTCCGTGCGGGATTCGAACCCGCGCCACCCAGCGCAGCAACTCATTGCTAAGCCACTGCGCCACGGAGCCGTCGTCCCTATAGAATGGATCATCCGCTCTCGTCAGAAAGTAATTACGGAGGCTGCACACTTCGCGATTATGCATGGTAAGCGCGCTTAAAAAGCCGCGACTACCATGTTTCCGCGGCAAGTACGTGTAGTAGTAGTGGGATTCAACGTTTAAGTATCGGTTTGTATGGGTCTTTTTTCTATACACAGTGTGACCTACGGTGTTATTAGGATTTCGAATGACTAACACATCTAGGAAAGCTAAAGAATTATTTGCCTCTAACTCCATAGTAAATTGAATTTTAGAGTTTATGGAATTAAGATGTTCTAAAAATGCAGTTACTTTGTCTGTTGGTAAAATTGTGAAAGTATCGTCTACGTACCGCTTGTAGAAACTTGGAGTTACTGGTGCAGTAAGCAGGGCTTTCTCCTCAAAGCCCTCCATGAAAATATCGGCGACAATGGGAGATACCGGTGAGCCCATCGCAACACCATCTACTTGCTTGTAAAACTGTTCCTTCCACAATAGGTAGCGTGACCACGGTTGCTGGAAAGCAACCTAAACGTCGGGAATATAAAATAAGTTAATTAAACGCGATAAAATCCGTAAAAATAGTTTTATTCAATTGCTAATAATGTTAGTAATTTCGCGACCAACAGCACCTGTTTATTTTGCAGTAATTACGCGCTTACGATAGCGCTTGAGTTTAGTAGTAAGCAAGGAATATACTACCACATATGACACTACTCTCTAAGTAGTAAGGATCGATACTTCCGAGCGAGTCTACTCTAAGAAAAATACATTTCAATTACATTTTTTTTATAAAATTAGGGTGACAAACGGCGCACACAGTCCACCTGATGGTAAGTGGTTGCTGTGGCACATAGACATCTATATATATCCTCGATTACGAATCAAAATGCAGATGCGTTGTCACCCGTGAGGACTAAGATGGAATGCCTCGTTTCCAGTAAAAAGGGTCTCCGGTTCTCTACACTTACCATACGAAACACAGCAGCGTTAAGCTGCCATTTTACGCTGGTATTCTGTAAGAGCGTGGTCCTTCTCCGGTCGAGCCGACCCATTCGTGCTACAACTATAGCAATAATAAAGCTGCAGCATGGCTCTACTAAAAACAACTTCATTGACAATTTGGTTATTGTGCTTGTTGTTCGCCATATTCCTATCGACCTATTATTATATATTATGTACATCGTGTACAAAAAGATAATCTTTCGGCGCGAGCGCGGTGCACACAAATACTCGTACAGTCACACAGAGACAGGAACGTCTCAACGGAGCGATTGTGACTGATTCGAGAGACAAACCACAAGCAAACGATAACTCTGTGAATCAAATGTCTGATGTCTGAGTGTTATTATATTATGTGGTAAACTTACCTTCATCCTTAAAGTCAAATCCTATTGTTTTTATTGAAAACCCTAATTTCAAAGTCGCCACAAAGTATTGTTAACATTGCCTTTTTCTATTTTTGAGATTGATTGATCCCTGCCATTTTTAACTTCCCGCTTTGAAAATTAATAATTTTCAAAAGTAGGAAGTTAAAGATTTCGGTCCCATTTTGAGAATGCGAGTTTTCATCAGATCTCCACGTTTTGAAGTCCTAGGACGCTGTTCCAACTTTTGCGTGTGCGTGTGCCTGTGCGCGCGCGCGCGCTTGTGAGTGTGCTTGCGTGCGTGCCTGAGGGCTTGTGTTTGTGTGTGTGTGTGTGTGTGTGTGTGTGTGTGTGTGTGTGTGAGTGTGAGTGTTTGTGTGTGTGTGTGTGAGTGTGAGTGTTTGTGTGTGTGTGTGTGTGTGTGTGTGTGTGTGTGTGTGTGTGTGTGTGTGTGTGTGTGTGTGTGTGTGTGTGTGTGTGTGTGTATGTATGTAAATAAAATTCGTCGTACGATATCTTTAAAACGAATCAACCGATCGAGATGGGCGACATGGCGTTCGAAATCGTTCATTGAGACTTCAAGCTGATTAGATTTTCAAGTTAATCGGTCGACCCGTTTCAAAGATTTTCAAAAAATAATAACCAAAAAAAAACAATAATTAAATAGATTTTCGAGCGTTGCGTTCGAAAATAAGCATGAAGGTCCAGGTATGGCATCAACCGTATTTTTATTTTTGAGTTTGATTGATTTTTCAGGCCAGGTCAATATCTGTAATTGGGTTTTTGTACTTTATTATATTTTTGATGTTATTGTTATTATATTTCATTTTAATTTTTCTTTGTTTATTTGTCATTTTGTTTACTATAAATTCATTGAATGACTTCCCTATATCCCTAATTGCATTGTACAATCAAATCAAAGAACCCTGTATAAGTGTTAAGTATTTTGAGCGCCAACTAAATTAAAAATTTTATTTAATTATTGTATACATTTGTTCGGATAGAATGATCTATATAAGAGCGAGCGTAAGTGTCAATGCGTATGCATGTGTGAGTCCGTGTAATATTTAAAATCATAATTTGTTGAATCAGTTGCAAATAAATCACCAAGTAGTAAACACGTCCCTCTGTTAACAAATCCCTATAAAATCAAAAGTGAACCTTAATACCAAGAACATATTGGTCGAAATCGAGCCGGATTTCAATTCGACTTACGACGTTCCTGCACCGCGCGATAATACAAAAGGACGGGTCGAGCGACGAGCTTAGAACAAAAGAAGACGTTTGCGTAAACAAGTTTTTATGCACGTTTAATGCACCATATGGCATCGAGTTGTAGATTGGAAAGAAATAAGTTATTATAAGACGGAAATAAGAAGCATTCGAGATTATAGACGATTTTAAGATAATTTAACAACTTATACCGAAAATGGCTAGTACACCGGAACAAATACTAAATGTGTTAGAAGATATAGCTATATTGTTAGGAAAAACTCAAGTAAATTTAAAGAAATGTCCGAAACAACGCCTAACAAGGGGTTACATAGAAACACGTATAAAAAGCGTTGAAGAATACTGGTCTACGTATAAAAGGGCACATGAAGAACTAGTGAAGTGTGTTCCAAAACCGAAACGACAAGATATTCCGTATTTCGTTAATGAAGAATATTTTATTCAGGAAGATTTATATATTTGTATACTAGCCGATCTTAATGATTTATTATTTTCGCTTAACAAGTTATCGTCTTCAGCACCTATACAAGTCGATAATAATAATTCGGGTTCTTCTAATGAAGTGCATGTCAAGTTACCAAGGATTCAACTTCCAACTTTCTCGGGAATCTACGATGAGTGGCCTGCTTATCAAGATTTGTTTACATCATTAGTGCATAGTTACACATCATTAAGTAACGTACAAAGGTTGCATTATTTGAAAGGCAGTCTTACGGGAGAAGCCATGTCACTTTTGAAACACGTTCAAGTCATCGATGCTAATTATGAAGAGTCGTGGAATATGCTTAAAGAGCGTTTTGGCAACAAGCGGATTATCATTAATTCAATATTAAAAAGATTATTTACGCAAAGAAAAATTAGTGTACAAACGGCAAGTAACCTCAAATCTATTTTGGATACTACAACTGAATGCCTGAATGCGTTAAAAAACCTTGGTCTGTCAACGAGCTCCTGGGACCCCCTCATTATATTTTTAGTTGTACAAAAATTGGACCCAGAGACTCACCGTGATTGGGAGGAAGATGCTTATAAGGATAATGCTGAAAACTTACCTACATGGGACGCGCTCAATAAGTTTTTACAATTAAAATTCCGCACTCTTGAGCTTGGCACGCCACCAACTAGGGAAAGACCAACAAATAGAGGAAAGGAGTATGCTGTTCACCTATCCACGAGTACTAATGATACTGCGACTTCTACGAAACTAAGAGTTTGCCCTATGTGCAACGAAAATCACACATTGTGTCACTGTGAGGAATTCATCAAGCTAAGCCCAACAGAGAGATGTGATTACATAAAGAAACACAATCTGTGCTTTAATTGTCTGGCCCCTGGTCACGCTGCGCGACGATGTCGCCTGAAGATGTCCTGTAGAACATGTCATAAACGTCATCACACGCTCACGCACCATTTCACGCCTATGACGTCATCAAGACAGCTAGACAGTTATAACAATCAAGACAAACAAAACGACGTTGAAGATCAACGAGCTTCTGCACAATCAGCCGAATCCAATGTCACACTTTCATCACATGTCGCCTCTAAGGTGTCCACTGCATTGCTGGCTACGGCACTCATACCAGTAAAAGGATACGAATCGAAACAAGTGACAGTGTTGCGCGCGTTAATTGACCATGGCTCACAGGCTACGTTCATGAGTGAAAGAGCAGCCCAGATGTTACGATTAAGGAGAACGCCTGTCAATGGCACTATCACTGGCGTTGGCTCTACTAAAACAAACGTTAAATATGCTGCAGAAATCGAACTTCTATCAAGACACGACCCAAACTTCAACATAAGGATCAAAACATATATAATGTCAACGCAACTGACAACCCAACTGCCGACTCAAACTATCTCCACCAGCACCTGGCCGCACCTACAAGGACTTGTATTGGCTGACCCAAGCTATAATCAACCAGGACGAGTAGACCTATTACTAGGGGTCGATGTGTGTGCTCAAATAATGAAAAGCGAAGTTATCAAGGGACCCCCAGGAACACCTTGTGCTCAAAATACGACCCTGGGTTGGATTCTTTTTGGGAGCGTGGAGGACAAACCAGCCGATAAATTGATTGTTATGCACCATAAACTTGACCTAAACGATATGCTCAAACGAATGTGGGAACAAGATGCATACGACAAAGTAGTACCTACAGCACATGATCGAAGGTGCGAGGAAATCTACGAAAATACAACCACAAGAAATAATGACGGACGTTATATTGTGACTCTACCCAAAAAAACTAAAATGCTATTATCAACCCAAGGAAACACGCGAACAATAGCTCTGCAGGGACTCTATCAATTAGAACAAAGATTCAAGAAAAATCCAAAACTAAAAAACGATTATGCTACGGTTATGAAAGATTACGAAACAAATTACATGGAAGAGGTACCCGGACACGAGATGACTAACCCATCGGTATACCTACCACATCATGCTGTTGTTAAGGAAGAAAAGGAAACTACAAAAATAAGAACAGTTTTTAACGCATCACAAAGAGGAAACAACAACATCTCACTTAACGACGAGCTGTTGGTGGGACCGCAGCTACAAGGAGACATGAGAAGTCTCATAATGAGATGGCGGATGAAAAGAATCTGCTTTGTAGCGGATATACAAAAAATGTATCTCCAAATCATGGTTACGAGAGAAGACCAAGACCTGCAACGAGTACTCTGGAGATATGATGATCAAGATCCTGTCAAAGACTACCGACTTACCAGGGTCACGTTCGGAACTGCTTCTGCTCCTTACTTGGCAGTAAGGACCTTGCACCAAGTAGCTCATGACGAAGGCCAAAATCATCCTGAAGCAGCAGAAATAATAAAGAGGGATTACTTCATGGATGATATGATGTCTGGGAAAGACAACCTCACCGATGCTGTCAGAATAGCCAAAGACATAGACGCCATACTGCAAAAGGGAGGCTTCAAATTAAAAAAATGGTGTTCTAATGACGCAGGCTTCCTAAAGGAATTTGAAGAGTCTGAAAGAAGTTCTCATGTAAAACTAGACATAACATTAGACGGGATTACACGAGCATTGGGACTACACTGGAATATTGGCAAAGATCTATTTCAATACAGCTTAAACCTATCTGCAACGGCAAATATAATTACAAAGAGAACAATCCTGGGTGACCTACAGAGATTATTTGATCCACTGGGCTGGTTGGCACCATCTGTCTTACCCGTCAAACTTCTGATTCAAAGATTATGGCTGCAAGGAGTAGCATGGGATGAGGAGGTGGACGAAACGATTGCTGCAGAATGGAACAATATACGAGATTCCTTTCATATGTACCTACCAGATATCGAAGTAAACAGATGGCTAAATACTACTGAAGCCACAATAAATAATGTTACTATCCACGGATTCTGTGATGCATCATCTCGAGCTTACGCTGCAGTGGCTTACCTAAGAGTAAGAACAGAAAGAGGTGAAGTGAAGACAACAATCATCGCTGCTAAAACCAAGGTTGCACCTACAAAACCACAATCCCTACCTCGTCTAGAACTAAGTGGCGCTGTACTGCTTGCTGGTCTTTTAAACGAGATAAAGGAATCAATGAACGTACCTGCCTGCCAGATATTTGCTTGGACTGACTCAACCATTGTACTCTCCTGGTTGTTTGGTGATCCTGCAAGATGGAGCACTTACGTAAGAAACAGAGTTATTGAAATACTTGACACCATCGGCAATCATAATTGGTACCATGTCAAATCACCAGAAAACACAGCTGACTCTGCTTCACGAGGGCAATCCTTGCAAGAGCTAAAAAATGATGAACGGTGGTGGAAAGGCCCAGAGTGGCTGCGAGTAGGGGAAATACAATACAGCAGACCCAATACTATCTGGACAGACCTGGAAAGAAAGAAATCGATACATGTAAATTTGAAATTAGACAAAGAGAAGAGTATTAGTACAAAATTTGAGGATTGTGACAAGTTGCAAGAATTGCTTAAGATGATTATATACTCTAAAAGATTCTTAAAGGGAAAGAAAATGGAATACAAAGACTTACCTGTGACCACGACGGAACTTAATGATGCGCTAAAAACCTGCATAAAAATAACTCAGAAGGACAGCTTCGAAGAGGAAATACAGCACCTGAAATCAAGGGAACAAATTAGAAGAGCCAGTAAACTAAAGAGTTTAAAGCCTTACCTGGACGATGATAACATCCTCAGGGTGGGCGGCCGACTGCGTCACTCGGACCTAAATGAAGACTGCAAAAATCCAATTATTCTGGATCACGACACTCATCTTACCTCTCTTCTCGTTGCTGACGCACACTCTAAGACGCTACACGGTGGAGTTCAAGTAATGCTCTGCTTTCTGCGAACAAGATTCTGGATCCTAAGAGCTAGAATATTAGTAAAGGCAAAGATAAGAAAATGCCTTATTTGTGCAAAACTTAACGCTACAGCAAGATCACAACTAATGGGGGACTTACCGCGAGTTCGAATCACACCAGCTAAACCCTTCTTAAACACCTGCATGGATTTTGCCGGCCCGTTCCATATCTTGATATCTAGAGGAAGAGGAGCAAGGACAAACAAAGCATACATTGCTCTCTTTGTCTGTATGTCGACGAAAGCGATTCACTTAGAATTAGTGGGAGATCTTACCTCAGATGCCTTCATCGGAGCCTTCAGAAGATTCGTAGCTAGACGTGGAAGATGCGCTCACATCTGGAGTGACCAAGGACGTAACTTTGTTGGGGCAAACAGGATACTCGCAGCAGAATGGGCTGAAGCCAGGCTTCAACTTGAGGGTCCGATTGCGGAGACGCTAGCAATGGATGGGACTGAATGGCATTTTATTCCCGCCTATAGCCCACACATGGGTGGACTGTGGGAGGCGGGAATCAAATCGATGAAAAACCATTTAAAACGGATAATGACCTCTCACGTAACTTACGAAGAAATGAGCACCTTGTTATGCCAGATTGAAGCTTGCCTCAACTCACGACCGCTTACCGTATTAAGGGACACAGACACAGACAACATCCAACCATTAACGCCTGGCCATTTCCTTGTCGGTGAGACGCCTATTACGGTTCCGACACCAGACTTCCAAAACATCCCAACAAGTCACTTATCAAGATGGCAATACCAACAAAGATTGTTGACGGACTTCTGGCGTCGATGGCAACAAGAATACCTGTTGAGAATGCAACAGTGTCCAAAATGGCAGAGGAAGGTCAAGGAATTTGACATAGGTCAAATTGTCCTCGTAAAATCAGATAGTTTGCCCCCAGGTAAATGGATGATGGGACGTATTGTAAAAAAACATCCGGGTGCTGACGGTGTCACTCGTGTGTACAGTGTAAAGAGTGGTGCTAGTGTCGTGCAAAGATCTGTAAATAAGCTGTGTTATTTACCAATAGACATTGAATAATGATTTATTTTATTATAACTAAGGCAAATTGTGTATATCCATATTCTATATTATGTATTGTTTAACTAATTTTGTACTGATGTTTGAATCTATTGTAACCAAACGATTATACTGTTTGATAATTAATTTATTAAAGGGCTCATAGGCCCTTTGGTGGGCGGTATGTTCGGATAGAATGATCTATATAAGAGCGAGCGTAAGTGTCAATGCGTATGCATGTGTGAGTCCGTGTAATATTTAAAATCATAATTTGTTGAATCAGTTGCAAATAAATCACCAAGTAGTAAACACGTCCCTCTGTTAACAAATCCCTATAAAATCAAAAGTGAACCTTAATACCAAGAACAACATTTTTTTTATAGGAGAGGGGGCAAACGAGCATGCGGCTCACCTGATGGTAAGTGACTACCGCCGCCTATGAACAACCGCAACACCAGGGGAATTGCAGATGCGTTGCTGGCCTTTTAAAAAGGCGTAGGCCCTTTTCTTGAAGGTTCCTAAGTCGTATCGGTCCGGAAAAATCGCTGATGGTAAACTATTCCACAAGGAAGTTGTGCGAGGAAGAAAACATCTTCTAAATCGCACAGTGGTGGACCGCCAATCATCCAGATGGTGTGGATGGTATCGGGAGTTCTGCCGCGATGTGCGTTCGTGAAATTTGGCGGCGGGGATTAATCCGAACAATTCCTCAGAGCACTCCCCGTGGTAAATGCGAAAGAAAATGCAAAGAGATGCAACATCTTTTCGCAGCGCCAATGAGTCAAGCCGATCGGAAAGGACTCGGTCGTCGACGATTCGAGCCGCTCTGCGCTGGATGCGGTCAAGTGGAAGGAGCTGGCACTGGGGAGCCCCTGCCCAGAGATGGGAACAGTATTCCATGTGAGGCCGAACCTGCGCCTTGTAAAGTTGCAGGCGTAGTGCCGGCATGAAATACTGTCCCGCTCTGCTGAGCACGCCAAGCTTTTTAGAGGTCAATTTGGCCTTCTCTTCCAAGTGACCACGAAACTGCACGTCACTCGATATGTCGATGCCGAGGATTCCAATACTGGCTGAGGCAACAAGGGGAGTACCTTGAAACTGTGGGGATACGACAAAGGGGTTCTTTTTTGCGGTAAACGCGCAAACTTGTGTCTTCTGAGGATTAAACTGGACTAGATTTAGTCGCCCCCAATCCGAGACTTTGTCCAGCAAAGACTCGACTTCAGACACAAGTTTGTTCCGGTACTCGGTGACGTTTTCCCGAGAAATATTGGCACGGCCGGTGTATAGAACATCACCAGTGATGTCATCCGCGTAGCAATGAATGCTACCGGTTTGCAACATATCATTGATATGCAGAAGAAACAGCGTTGGTGATAGCACGCAGCCTTGTGGAACACCAGCGTTAATAGGCTTGCAGTCGGAACATGCACCGTCTACAACGACTTTGATGCAAGAATCTTCAAGAAAGCTTGTGATCCAATTGCATAATTTCTCGGGAAGCCCATAGGAAGGAAGCTTCGAAAGAAGCGCTTTGTGCCAGATCCGATCGAAGGCCTTCGCTATGTCCAAACTAACGGCCATTGCCTCCCCCTTGGACACTAATCAGCTGGTGATCCTCAAGGTACCGCATGAGGAGGCACAATATCTTCATCATCATCATTATCGCCCTGCACAAGTCCACTGCTGAACATAGCCCTCTCCGAAGGAATGCCACAATGCACAGTCCTGAGCCCCAAGGCGAGAGTTTGTAGAACTTAACCATCAATTATAACCTTTAGGCCGAATTTCGATCAGGACTACCAGTCTTAACGGAGACTAGTCATCCATACAGAACATTCAGATATTACGTACGAACCTTTTGGTAAATAGTAATAACGTTATGTGGTATGTAAGTCCCTAAGTACCCAAAAAGGACTAGTAATGTTATTAAAATCGAATGGCCGGTCTGTTCATTTTCACTCAGCTCACGATATCTTACTTCTTCTGAGTGAGTGCAAGTACTTTCCGGTCAGATTTTATGCACCCCTTTTAAAATTGGTATAGTTTGGTTCGGTAGGTGCACTTTAATCTGTCACTTCACGTTTCTTTTCTTTTCTTTCAGTTCAGGTAGTCAATGTTCATTGGCTATTACAGTCCTCTGCGAGAGCGTTCCTATGTGTAGAAGAAACGTACTGGTCTTGTGGGTCCTGAGTATGTTCTTCTTGTCCCAAGGTATTATGGCAGGTAAGCATAATTTCCGACGCAGTTGACATATCGCGCCTAACAAGTGACACTATATCAGCTTAAAATTTTGCATATTTTAGTTAATAACTGATTCAGAAAGAAGATTTTTTCCCTACCGACTGGCAACACAGACGTATTTATATCTCAAGTACTTGCCAATATATAATGACAAAAAACTTTATTGAACGTCCGGTCGGTCTTTGCATGAACTAGTATTCCCTCGCATTACCGACTGGGTTGTCAGCTAAAGACAAAAGAGTTTGTATAATTTCAGCACTGAATTATATTTCAGCATTGAATAACTAATTTCGAGTTCCGCCATCGTAATTTGTTTTAAAGGGACAAATAAATAGAATATAGGTTTGCGATTAATACAGTGTCATATTTTACTTAATACTCTTGCTAATCAATTTGAAATTATTCTATATATATACAGTGGACCTGCGGTAATCCGACAAACATTTTGCAGGGCAGTGTCGGATTATCGAATTTGTCGGATTATAGAGTACTGCCTAAGACCCCCTATAGTCCGGAATTTTTTATAAAAGATTACCTTGTAATCCGACAAATTCCAGATCCAATGATAAGATTCTATATGTTACATATGTACTCTGAAGTACAAATTATACTTCATTATGTATGTCAAATTTAGTAAATTAAACAACACAATACATAGGGAGCTTACATTTTATTATAAAACTAGCTGTTCCCCGCGACTTCGTTCGCGTGTTAGTGTTTTTGTGTTTCTGCGCGGAACCCTGATTATTTTTCTAAAATAAAAGTAGCCTATTTTACTCCTTATGAAATCAGCTATCTGCCAGTGAAAGTCCCGTCAAAATCGGTCCAGCCGTTTCGGAGATTACCCGGAACAAACAGACAGACAGACAGACAGACAGACAGACAAAAATTTTAAAAATTGTATTTTGGTTATAGGTATCGTATTTACTTTCATATGCATTTAGTAAAAAACTGTAATTTTGACATTACAAACAGACACTTCAATTTTATTTATTTGTATAGATTAACGTCATTAATGCTATAGTAGAAATTAGAAAAAATATGCAACAACTTTACATTAGGAAATAATTGTGTACAAACAAATGTACATACTAGAATGTATGCGAGGATATATATATATATATATATATATATATATATATATATATATATATATATATATGTATAGGTATATATTTATAGTGGCAATGGGCCGGCCATATAGCTCGAAGACCCGATAACCGATGGTGAATAAAGGCTCTCGAGTGGCGGTCTCGTCCCGGCAGGCGAAGTGTATTACGCCCTCACTCCCCCCCCCCCCCCCACTAGATTAGAAGTTGTGACCTTGAGGTAATGGCACAGAATAAACGAATTTACAAGAAGTAATTGATAAAGGGTATTTTTGGAACGAAGTTCTTTCTCGGACGCTACGGATTTGGCAGATGGGGGCTAGGCGAAAAAAAGTGTAATGGTCGTCACACACAGTCAGTTAAACTGATCAGTTTAACTGACGTACATCCAAAAACTGACCGTGAGTGTGAAATCTTAAGGTAAAATTTTTAACCCCCGGAAACCCACGGAATTTTTCCGGCGTACTATCAGTTAAACTGCTCAGTTGAACTGATGTACATCCAAAAACTGATCATGTGTTAACACATATGATTAGTCTTAAGTTAAATTTTTTTACTGACGGTAACCCACGAATTTTTCATATTGTAATCCGCTGGCTTCAGTTTGTTTCAATTATTGGTAAATACTTATTATATTAGTAGCTACTTACATTATTTCTATGCTGTTTAGATTTTATTTTATTTTATATATTTAGAGAAGTTTGTTTGACGGAAGATGGAGACCAAAGGGACTGTGATGATGTCACCTTCCTTATGGTGGACCCTGAAGGTGGGTAAAGGATCTAGGTGATGCTAATGCGTAGAATTGTCTTTGAACTCATTTTCAAAATGGTTAATGGAAATCTAGGTGACTTTTATGATCTCACATTTCTGATGGTGTAATCCGAAGGTGGGTATAGGATCTCAGTGATGGCACTAGATAGAACGATCGTGTTTGAACTCATTTGAAAGGGCTCATAAAGACCTAGGTGACTGTTACGACCTCACCTTTTTGATGTTGCAATCCGAAAGTGGGTATAAGATCTCAGTGATGGTACTAGATAGAACGATCGTGTTTGAAAACATTTGAAAGGGCTCATAAATACCTAGTTCACTGTGATGATATTACCTTCATGATGGTGGACTTAGAAGGTGGGATAAAAGATCTCAGTTATGACACTACGAAAAACCATAGTGGTTGAGCTTATTTGAAAGGGCTCAGGTAGACTAATATGAATGAGTAAATATGCCATGATTTTAAGAATAAGTAACTATTAGAAATAGCCTTTTCGATTTATTGTGGTTTATGGCTTATTACCAGACTGTAATAGTAAAAACAGTATTATTACTCACTTAATTTATTAGGTTTTCAGACAATTAAAAAAACAGCAAAACTCTCAAGTAGGTACTAAATTAGAAATCGTCCATATATTTTACAGGCAATAAGAAACAAGGCAGACCGGAAAAAGTATAACCAACTACAACCAGAAGACATTAACCCCCCATTTACACCAATTCCTATTAATGACCAACTTACCTGTATTCGGTATTAGGGTCCGTTCACACAGACCGGCTCGGAGAGGAGAGCAGATTTTTATCACGTTGGAAACAGTGTTTTGAGTGATTGTAGTAAAGTTTATTTTTGCATTTGCACCTTTTTTGTCATTAAAAATGCCTGAACGCGCTTCGTGTGAAGTAATAAAAGGAGCCGACCGGCTCCGCTTGCGTGCTCTTTCTCGCTCGCGCAGCCGATCGGCTCTGATTGCGTGCTCTTTCTCGCTTGCGCAGCCTGTCGGCTCCGATTGCGTGCTCTTTCTCGCTCGCGCAGCCGATGGGCTCCGATTGCGTGCTCTTTCTCTATCGCGTAGCCGATCGGCTCCGATTGCGTGCCCGCTGCGGCCGCGCCGACCGCCATTTTGATAGCAACATTTGAACGTAATAGTTGTGCGTACTTGTACGAAAAGATGAATGATGAAAAATTAATAATACTCGTGTCAAAATATGAGTGTTTATTTGACATAACCAAGCCATCATATAGCGATCGGATAATGAAAGACAATGCATGGGAGGAAATTAGCAAATGTCTCGGAATAAGTGGTAAGTAAGGTTTTCATTGTTTTACACCTACCCCCAGATACTCAAACGAATTTTAAAGCAAGGGCTTCTTAAACTCGTGCTGCGACGTGTTAGATTCAAAGTCAAAATAGGAATAACATGAGTTTAAATGCGCCCTTACTTTAAAAACTCGTTTGAGTATCTGATCGTTAGAATATACTTATGTAGTAGACAATTTTTATTAAATATAACTTAAGAAACTCGCGTAGCCACTTGATCTTGCCAATCTAAAGCACCACTTGATGAAAAATAATCCTTAAATTTATTCCTTGTGGTTAGAACTGCGTCGCTATTAGAACTGTTTTCATTATTATTGTCTGTTATTGCTGTTAATAAATTTATATTGCTGTGAAATTCATTCTCTTGTCCTGGCGTCCGATTTTCTATTAAAAAATTATGTAAACATGTAGTTGCTAATATAATTAAATCACAGTACTTCGGCTGAATTTTCATTCGTTTTTGATAAATTTCAAATCTTTGAGTTAGCATTCCAAATGCACATTCTACGACTTTTCTTGCCCTGCTTAAACGCAGATTAAATACTTTTTTTGATAATTCTGTTCTTGCTTGTTCTCTTGGATACGGCCGCAATATATTATTGCTCAAAGGAAATGCCTCGTCTCCTATAAAAACATGTGGTAAGCTTTCAGTGGTACTAGGTAGAGGTTTATTTGGGGGCAGCTTTAACTTATTGGTGTTGAGTTTTTTCCAAAATTTTGAATTCTGTAAAATTCCGCCGTCGCTATTTTTACCATATGATCCGACATCAACAATTAAAAAACTGTATTTCGCGTCGACCACAGCTAGTAACACTGTACTGAAAAAGTTTTTATAATTATAGTATAAGCTTCCACTATTATCTGGTGCCTGTATATTGACATGCTTTCCGTCTATAGCGCCCAAACAGTTAGGAAAATTCCAAATATTAAAGAAATCACGTGAAACCTTTTCCCACATTTCTTCATCTGGCATCTGCATAACTATGGGCATCAAAACATCACAAATTACTCTGATTGTCTCATGAATAATTGAATGAACTGTAGAAATTCCCATTCGAAAATTAAATGACAAGTTTTTGAAACTGCAACCAGTGATGAGGAATCTGTAAAAATAAAACAAACACACAAAATAGAAATATAAGACTGCCGTACCAAAACGAACTATAAAATAAAAAAGAGTTATGTTATTAATTTTTCATTTCTGTTCTTTCCAGTGACGCAGTGCCAGGATCGTTGGAAGAAACTGCGAGATAACTTCAGAAAAGCCTATTATAACCGAAAAGGCAAGAGTGGCGATGGTGCAACTACGTCCAAATTGATAAAATTTGAAAAAGAACTTTCTTTTATAATACCATTTTTTCGCAATCGAAACCAAATATCTAATGTAACATTATCATCGGATGATTCAGAGCCTGGCACACCAATACCACCACCATCGACATCATCTAAACGTTCTGACCATTCTGAAGTTGAATCGCTTGCAAGTACTTCTGGCTCGAAAAAGAGACCACGCTTAAGCAAAGATGTTGCTACGGTTTTCGAAGAGTATCTTGAAGAAAAAAGAAATACTACACCCCGTGACAAGGCATTACGTAATTTTTTTTTGTCTATGTCAGATACAGTGGAAACATTCCCAAAAGAAGTCCAAGCACGAATTAAAAGGCGCGTGTTTAACATTGTTAATGAAGCTGAATTAAGTCTGTATGAAAATAGTACAGATTTGAATTATTCTTTGTCTATAAATTCACCGCCATCGACTAATCAATCTACTTACCTAGTGTCAAACGAAACCTATATTCCTCAAAACTATCCAGATCAGACTACTTACGGGTACAATACCAGCACACAAAATACAAAATAATAAACAATCAAAAACAATAATAATTATAATAATAATAATTAAACACACACAAATCTGTACTATTTAATTACATTTCATTAACGTAAATAATGCTTAATAAATGGAGGGCTGTGATTTTGTGATCTATTTAGATGTTTGTGTTATTTAACATGATTAGTATAAGTAATTTACATTTCATTAACGTAAACAATGCTTAATAAATGGAGGGCTGTGATTTTGTGATCTAAATAACATGATTAGTATAAATAATTGTTTTTTATTTACCTTAAAGTTACCGTTAACCTTTCTTCGGCTGTAATGGTGCAACGATAATTTGTAGTCTTTTTTGTTATATGTACTCTTAACAAATCTGTCAATTTCAAAAATTGCCAATATTCCATACGATAATACTCATAAAATTTTAGGCTATCTCTCTTCAATTCCTCGAAAATGGTGTGAAACTCCCCATGGATTAGTCTGTTTTTCCAAATATGTTTTACCCATATTTGTTTCCGCTTGCGCTTACGTTTCCTATGTTCTATTTCAAGTAATCTTGCTAACAAATATATTTCTTCGTCGGAGCTATCTAAATCCATGTTTCGAAAAGCACACGTTAACACACCGAAAACAAAACTTAGACTGCGCGGAATACTGGCACTGCCTTTGTAGTGTATCCACCCGACTCCGAGCGCATCCGACCGGCTCCGAGCACATCCAACCGCACCCGCTTTCAGATCTCTTCCAGCCGGTCGATGTGAAATAGTTGGCGGCTCCGCTCCGGCCAATTCCAAGCGTATACGACCCGGTCTGTGTGAAAAGAAAAAAGCAGGCCGATGCTCTCCGAGCCGGTCTGTGTGAACGGACCCTTAAGAATTCAATGATTTTTGACTGGAAGTAACGTTTTTAGATTTTGTAAATAAAACAATGCTCAAGGATTTATTACACGAATACCAGACTTATATGAAAAAATATGAAAAAAATATTTTGTGGTAACAAGTGGTTAACTTTTTATTGGTTGAGCGAAATGCCTGAAAGCCAAGCTTATTTCAATGACTAATCTGAGTCTATTTGGGTATTTAATGACCTGTAAAATTGTAGAGTTGTTTGCTTTATTTTACTTTGTGTTATGACTATTACACTAAAGGCTGGGTTGCCGTATCCCATAAACATCTACATCTATCCTCGATTACAAATCAAAATGCAGATGCATCATCACCCGTGAGGACTAAGATGGAATGCCACGGTTCCAGTAAAAAGGTTCTTCGGTTCTCTATACTCACTATACGAAACACATCAGTTTTAAGTTGCTATTTTACGTTGGTATTCTGTGAGAGTGTGGTATACATTTGTTGCGTAACGAACGATTAAAATGTTATGGATATTTTGACATTTTATTTTGTGATGTAAAATTGAGTTTGAATTAATATAGTTAAAGAAGACCAACGAATTGCTTCTACAGTCAACCTTTTAGTGTCCAATAACCGTAAAAGTCAAACAGCTGAATATATAAAACCGCGAGTATTCTTGACAATTCTTACTGAAAAATATTGGTACACATAATTGTCTCATTTAAATTAAACAATAATTACTAAGAGCTATAACCTAACAATTTCATACATTTATAATTCATTTGTTTAATAAATATACTAAATTATAAATTGTGTAAATAATTTTTGAGCTCACTTACGATTGTTTTCTTTTAAATAAAACCGATATATCAATATATCGCTATTTTTTTGGATATATACAAAACTCCGATATTGATATATTTCTAATTATATATTGAATATCCAATATTTTAAAAATATCAACAGACCTAGTTTGAACTGATCAGTTGAACTGACCGTGTGTGTCGAACTTTTTTGGCTTAAATCCGTTTAAACTGATCAATTTAACTGATGTACGTGCGTATCGGCTATAAGATTTTTCCGTCACGACCCCTGCTGACGTAGTATAGACGGCCTTGGCGGCTATAAGGAAGCGAGATGGAATAACATCCATCTCCCTCACACTTTTTCTCATCGTGCCTAATATTATTTTATTTTAAATGACGCTTCATTTTAATAGACGCTAGTAATTCTGTTATTTGTATATGTTAATCAATAATATAATTCGTTTATCAATAATAATATACTACGAAAGGAATTCGTTCCAACCGAGTGTTTCACGATACTCACGCATGTTTTTTTGTTTTATCAACGATTGCATTTTTATTAACGAAGGCAATACAACAAGGAGTCAAGTTTTAATTCAATATTAAACACAATTCTTTCAGTAATCGCCATACCCATTATTCCGCTACCGTTCTCATTCTACCTTCCCGGCTTGGGCATCTACTGGAACTCTTGGCGAACTCTACTCCTCGTCTACTCTACACCAAGTCTTCTAGCTGCTGTCTGGCTGTTCTTCATGCAGGAGAGCCCAAAATATGTGTTTGTGAAAGGACATGAAGAAGAATCTATAGATATTATAAAAACCATACACAGATGGAACAATTGGAAACCAGCAGAAGATTTTCAAGTAATATTGAACTTCTCTAGATAGCTCTTTAGCGAGAAGTTAGAAAGCAGTTATCATCTGCTTTCTAACTTCTCGCTTAAAAATCATAAACATTGAATTTGAATTCTTACTAATACCACAGAATAAATAATAGTACAAGAACTAATACCAAATTCTAAGATCCGTGGTAACTCAGGGTCTAAACGTTTCCCAAAAAATTCACAGTATGCAAGCAACCTGAGTTCGATCTTTGTGACACCCATCAAATAAGGTTTTAAGGTATAACGGATCAGAAAATTGAATTTGCAATGGGCCGGCCATATATCTTAAAGAATCGGTTCTTCGAGTAAAAAGAAAGGTTCGCGAGGGGCAGCCTTGTAATGACAAGCGAAGGGGAGGCCACACTAGATTGAGTGACGATCTAAGAGATTGAAGAGGAAATTGATCGATGCAGGTGGCTCAGGGCCGTTGTGGCATTCCTTGGGGGAGACTTGGAATAATGATGATTAAGGTTTTATGTGTATAGAACTACCTAACCTTTATTTACTCTTCGCTTTTATTGTACCTTATTTGGGTTGTCTGAAAGAAAATAATGTGTAGCAATGATACCATCTTTTGATTTTTCCTCAATATTTGTATGGGATATAGTTCCGTTCTAGGGACACCTCTGATTTAGACCAAATTTTTTTACATGTTTACCAACATAAACGATGAAAAACCTCAAAGGAAATTTAGGCACAAATTCCCCTGAAAATTTTTAAGAGGGCTTGAAATTTTAGATTTTTAAGGCAGTTTTTCATGATAAATCGACTAAACCTCACTTTTTTACACAGGAATATTGACCCAAAGTAACTTCTACAACGGCTTCGGCGCTGCGGGAAGTGCAGTCCCTTCGCCCTTGCGTAGTGAATCACAGGCACCCATGCTAACCTTCTCAGTTTCGGATTATTGGTCAGCCTCAGTCGCTACGGCTCGCACAGATGCCTGTGACTTGCTACGGCGGGCGGGGGCTGCTCTCCCTCCGCGCCTACGGCTTTACAAAAACACTCTAGGTGTAGGCAGACAAGACTACGAGGAGTTGCGGCGTGCTAATTCAATTTTAGTACAGATTCAATCAGATCAGATATCTAATCGATAAAGTCAGGTTGCCTTCGTTCCCGCCACAACATTCTAACCTATTACAACAGAAAGTATTTCTGAGTGTTCAAGTATTTCTGGGCAGTTTTAAAAAAATCAGAAATTAAACACAGTATATTATAATAGTAAGTAGTAGTAAGTAATTTTGGGTCAATATTCACGTGTAAAAAAGTGAGGTTATAGTCGACGTATCATGAAAAACGGTCTTCAAAATCTAAAATTTTAAAAAAAAATTCAGGGTCATTTGCGCCAAAAATCCCTATGGGATTTTTCATCATGTTTGTTGGTAAACATGTATAAATTTGCTCCAAATCGAAGGTGTCGCTAGAACGGAACTCTACCTGACATGTGAAGTCCTCCAACACACACACTGAAGCAGCGTAGCCGACTAGTTGCTCTATACACTTCTCAGATATAAGGGAAGGCCTGTGCCAAATGTTGGAGGGTATATTTGCTGCGACTTTCCTTTTTTGACTTTACTTACATTCACAAAGACAAACCTGCGGGACCATGGTCTCATGGAGCCTCTATCACTGCCACCTGACGGCATATATTGTCATAGCGGCAATTAATTAAAAAAAACACTGTACTTTTTCAGATAAAGAGTTTGACGTTGGATGCTCTTGACGAACCGACGTCAATAAAAGACCAGATCGTGCCACTATTTAAAGCACCCCTTCTCAAATATACTGTGATCATGACTACGCTGTGTCTGTTGCAACTGTGAGTACCACAATTAATCGATAGAGAAAGATAGCATACAAATTAATTATTTAAGGTCTTTACCAATGAAATTGCGGTTCTGCACTACTGGCCATTTCAAATCAAATTATTTCTGTTTGGCTAAGAATTCTAAATTCAAATTAATTTTATTTCAAAAACATTGAAATTTTTTTTTCACAATTAGTCATTTGTTTATTTAGTAGCGATATGTTTATAGAGTTTTGGCGGGAACTTGACCGGCGTCGGTTTGCTGCTCCTGTATTATTGTTTAAATAATGGTTTGAAGTGGACTTTGATATGTAAAAGTGGTGCGATTTTGTGTATTAAGTGTCCGCGCATTTGAACTATTAGTGAAAACTGTGAAACAAGTGCTCTGATGGTGATGTGATTCTCAAAATAAGGTGACTTGAGGATAGTAATCTTATTGAAATTAATATTAATCTTAATTTTTTTAAATTTAGGAGTTAGATTTAAGTGGTAACAAGGAAGTTTGAAGAAAATATTAGCGTGATCCTTCCTCGGTCGAGCAAGCTCAATCGTGCTACAGTCACTATACGCAGCGCCGTGACTCTACCCCGTAAAAAATTATAATGATTTCAAGAATTGAAAAATTAAAAAACAATCTAAAATGGGCGAGACAGAAATCGAAGGCCAACTCTACATTTGGTCATCTTGGAATATCGCTGTGATACAATTTCCGATGCGTTTCGTTTCTTACAAAACCTCGTAGCTGATGTACCTCGTATATGATACACGTTTTGTGAGCGGCAGTGTGAGCGTACTTTGACACTGTATCAAGATATGACGATGCGATACCATACCTGATACGCCGCTTCCCATCTTCAGTCGGTTTTCCGCCGATCATCAAAGGGGATAGATATTACACGGTTTTGGCTAATTTGGATGTACACATATACATTACATTGCTTTTAAAGTGTTTGCAAATGAATAAAGCAATACAGAAAAGAAAAACACAACCTTCTTTTTGCAGTAGTGTAGCGGGAAAAAATTTTTTTCTTCTCATCTGATGGTAAATTATCACCAAAAACATCTGCAGCAACACGAAAATTACGGCCTGATTCAATTTTTTCAATCGTTTAGTTCAACTAGTTGAACTTATGGGATAATATCGTTGAGTTATATGTACTAGTACTACGTACTAGAGAAGCCATTCCAAACAAAAATTGTGTCCTACTCTATGTATTCGCGCATGCGCGGGAGTAGTAGTGCGCGACTACTACTCCCACGCATGCGCGAAGTCTTTAATTTGATATAAAATAAGATATTAATATAAAATATATATAAGAATTTAATATAAAATATCTTAATTTAATCTAAACAAACATATTATATTTCTAAATAAAATGTAATAATTATTATTTTATGGAATTCAGAAATCTCTAATTTACGCAATATTTAGTTTTTACGGATTGCACTACAGTTCAGTTGAACATAGTCAATGTTCGGAATGGCTTCTCTAGTACGTAGTACATATAACTCAATGGATAATATCTATTATTTGCAAAGTTTAAAAAAATTACTTGAAAGTTGAAAATAATCTACAGTTTTTTTTTCTTATTTAAAAGTATACTAATAAACGTTGTTATAAAGTTGTAATAAGTACATAAAAACGCTAGCAAGTACCTATTGCATCATTATTTAATTATTTTTGCACGTTAAACTTGTACGCGAACTCTCCAAAAATAGAGGGATTGTTATCTCATTCTTAAATAACTGAATTTGCATGTCAATAATAATATATATATTAGTCAATTATATATTATAATATTGTCATTATTAATGTACTCTTTCTTACGTCGTTTTGGTCTGTTTTACATTCTCTTGTAGTAGTTTTTCACAGTAAACGCGCCATGTCTTTATAAAGTTGTCACTTATTAGCCATGGTTTCTCAAAGTAAACAGCAAATTTATTTAAAAAGTTAGTTAAAATTTCCCAGGCCTCCTCTCATTTCTGAGAGGGTTTATTTAAATAAATTATTATTTTCGAAAATTCTATCTTACTCAGAACATAAGCCCATCCTTCTCTAACGTACACTCGTATTTTATATTTTTTAAATATCCAGACTTTGCCAGTTTCAATGTTTCTGCTTTTCTTCGTACACTGTTAAAATAATGATAGTAGCAGCCTTTAAAAAATAACTTTTATAGCAGCTCTGTTAAGAATTTTTTTTATGTACAAAGTAATGAAATAACCGTCATCAAATAATGGGCTATCTAACACAAAAAGAAGTTTTCACATTGAACTAGTGGTTAGTTCCTGATATTAGCGCGTTCAAACATACTAGTATTATAGTTCACGGTCATATACTAGTATAGATTAAAATTTACGGAACGGTTATCTTCCAATATGTTGAACTTTCCTAAATAATTATATAGTTGAACTGATTGGCATAATGTTGTCTCATATGTTCAACTAGTTTAACTTACGGTTGTACTAATTGGATCAGGCTGAAATTGCAGGTGGGTCGGCGGTATTATATCGACTAAATTACTAAATAATATCGACTGCCTCGTGGGTCTAGTAGTTGTAAATGCGATTGCGGATCATGAGCTCCCATGAAGGTTCGAATCCCAGTTCGGGCCATAAAAATTAGTTATTGAGTAGCAGCCCGTAGTCAGTGTCTCGGAAAGTAAGTAAAGCCATTAGTTCTTCCTTAAAGCCATTAATCCTTCTCTTTATTTCCCTCCGGTCGTGTCGGTTTGACGTCCCATTGCACTATGCCAGTGAGGGAATGGAGAGTGCATCTGCGCTTGCGGCATACCAATCAGGCGCTATCATCCTACCCTGCGCAGATGGCTAGTCTCAAAAAATTCTAATGTACAGAGCTCATCCTACTAGAGATTAATTATAGAAATAGATTATTTTTTGTAGGCAGTAGAGTCCAAGGGGGAGGCGTTGGCCGTTAGTCTGGACATTGCGAAGGCCTTCGATCGGGTTTGGCACAAAGCGCTTCTTTCGAAGCTCCCTTCCTATGGGCTTCCCGAGAAATTGTGCAATTGGATCACCAGCTTCCTTGCAGATCGGAGCATCAAGGTCGTTGTAGACGGTGCATGCTCTGACTACAAGCCTATTAACGCTGGTGTTCCACAAGGCTGTGTGCTATCACCAACGCTGTTTCTTCTGCATATCAATGATATGTTGCTAACTGGTAACATTCATTGCTATGCGGATGACAGCACTGGTGATGCTCTATACACCGGCCGTGCCAATATTTCTCGGGAAAACGTCGCTGATTACCAGAACAAACTTGTGTCTGAAGTCGAGTCTTTGCTGAACAAAGTCTCGGATTGGGGGCGACTAAATCTAGTCCAATTTAATCCTCAGAAGACACAAGTTTGCGCGTTTACCGCTAAAAAGAACCCCTTTGTCGTATCTCCTCAGTTTCAAGGCACTCCCCTTCTTGCCTTAGCCAATATCGGTATCCTCGGAGTCGACATATCGAGTGACGTGCAGTTTCGTGGTCACTTGGAAGGGAAGGCCAAATTGGCCTCTAAAAAGCTTGGCGTGCTCAGCAGAGCGGGACAGTATTTCATGCCGGCACACCGCCTGCTACTTTACAAGGCGCAAGTTCGGCCTCACATGGAATACTGTTCCCATCTCTGGGCAGGGGCTCCCCAGTGCCAGCTCCTTCTACTTGACCGCATCCAACGCAGAGCGGCTCGAATTGTCGACGACCGAGCCCTTTCCGATCGGCTCGATTCATTGGCACTGCGAAGAGATGTTGCATCCCTTTGCATTTTCTTTCGCATCTACGATTAATAAATACAAATACATGAATTACTAGCGTCTATTAAAATGAAGCCTCATTGAAAATAAAATAATATTTCTTTTATGGCAACATATGAAAAAGTGTTTTCCATCTCGCTTCCCTATGCCCGTCAAGGCCGTCTACACTACATCAGTAGGGGTCGTGACGGAAAAATCTTACACTTTCTCTCCGCCAAATTCGTACCGTCTGATAAGGAACTTCGTTCCAATATTTTTATGCAGAATTACAGCGTTCGGAGTCTGGTTGCCGACAATTGTCAATCAATTCATGCAGATTGTGGAGACAGGAGTAGGCACAGACAGGAGTCTGTGCAGCATTATCAGCGATAGTGTCGAAGTACCAGTTGATGTAAGTTTTAAAAAGGGGCTTTTAATAAATGTGTTACATGTTGAGAACTACTAAGAGTACGTGAGTTTTTTTTTTTGTTCTGAATTGATATGATAATAAAATATTAATACAGTAATAAGGGCGGGTCAATAAGTTCGCGTAATAATAATAATAAATCTAGTTTCAGGGGCTGATTTTAAATCATCAAATAAAAGTTATTCATTGCATAAAATATACCACAAACAAAATTTAAAATTATAGATCTACGAATAAAATAGTACAATAATTGTTTTCTTTTATATTTAGGTAAGTAGGTTATAATTTATTAGATGGATAACTTTTATCTGACTGGAAAATCTACCTTTAATAAAGTAATTGTAAATTCATATTCTATACTTAATACACTTTTCACTATCTATACTTATTACAATAAATCTGTAGAAAATTCGTGTCTGTAATTCTAATATTTCTTGGAAAAAACAAGTCCAGGGGACTAAATAAAGGATACTGAAGCCAAATTGGTGCTTTTTAGAATTGTTGTCTGTGGGTATGTCTATTACCGATTCACGCAAAAACTATTGTGCGGATTTCCATAAAATTTTGTACGTGTGACCGGGGGCAACTTATGGGCTATTATTCGATTACGGAACTACAAAAAAGGAGAGTAAATATATTTTATCATTGCTTTAGAAGATAATTTTATTTTTCTATATAAAGTCTAAAATTAGCTTTAACCCTTGTGTAATAATTTGAAACACCAAAGATATACGTTTTACGTTTTCAAAACAGCGCCATCTATCATAAAACGGAAACGCAAAAAGTAGTAATATTTTGCCTTCAGCACAGAATAAATAATAGGCCTTCAGTTACTAATTAATTAAATTGGTCAGCGCAGCGAACGCTCTTCTGCCCCAAAACGCTCTGTGGCTTGTGCCCATTGTGGGATGAATGTAGGCTGCTACTTTTTTACTTTTTATGGGGCTACAATGCAGTTTTTATTTTATTCATGTTTTCGGAGATGTTACAATTTCGTTTTCATTCTAACTTTGAATATGAAGGGTAACGAATTACCACTTGCAGCCAGACGTCGCACCGTGCGCCCTGAACGTATCATCACTTCTGTTGGTACTGTCAATGGGTGCTCTGCGGTCGTTCCTTAACATATTGCTAAGTTTGGTAAGTCTATAGTAAGTACAGTTTATAGTACAATATATATAAAAGTCCTTTTATTTTACGTATTTAAAAGAAAAATAAATCTACCCTTAACTTTACGTTAAGTCGTTTATACAGTTCATTAGGAAGTCTTAAAATTAACCGTCAATATTTCTGAGACACTTATTAAGTTACTCTCGTGGTCTCAATGGATCGTCCAAGTCTTTTAAATCCACTCGATATAAGCTTTTTTAATAATAATACACCAGTTGCTGCATTCTTCCATATTCACCATCAACACATATAACGGAGACCCTCACACTGGTGTACTGCTGCGCCTCCATACCAGTCGATGTAATTCGAACTAACCGGATTTGGATGCATATTTCCTTATCAACCGATCGGCAATACCTAACCTTTGTCTGTCAAGAAGCGGGATACTATACAAGGTTATGTTGGTATTTAAAAAAATAACATATAAATTCTCCCATACGCACCTTGATGTAATAAAAAGATATAGATTAAAAAAGAAATTGTTGCGTTAAAATGCAGGTGGTGAACAGAGTTGGCTACCGCAACATGGCCATATGCTTTACAGTTGTGTGTGGAGTGTCAGGCATCATGGTGAACCTCATACCCAACGCCTACGCTAGCGTCGTTTTCTTCATGATCTTCATGACTGGAGCGTTGGTTACGGGAATGTACGTGGCCCTTACCGTTGCGTTGTTCCCCACTCATCTCAGGTGATCTCCCGTTTGTTTATTTAATACATTTGTAAGGTTCTTTAATTATTACACTTATATTTTTATATATTATAAATTAATAAATAAAACTAAGGTTACAGTTCTTACACGTCCCACTACTACTCCTCTTATTTCTATGAGGGTTTGAGGGCAAGGTGGTGTCCGTCACAATCCCCATGGTTGTTAGGAGATACAGGTTGTCCACCATGTTTTCTATCGTCGTCAAGTACGTGGTAAATGAGCACTTGAATTGTAATTAGCTATTGTGAAATTTATGGCGGGCGTTTAGCCCCCGAGCTGACCACAACTCTTAGTTATTAAAGATGACTTTCATACAGTTTTCGTTTCACGTAATTGACAAGCATTCAAATACATGCATGTAAATCTCTTTTGTTGTTAAATTTCCTTATTTTTTGAGCGCACACATTACATTTTCTTAAATCTATTGAGAGGTCAGTAATAAATTGATCTTATTGCCCGGTTATGTTAAATAAACTCGTCGCTTCAATGTCCATTACATTTCTCATGAAATTACTGATTATTCCTGTATGAAGTTTTCCTACCGTGTAGTGGCGGTGTAAAAATATCCACTACCCCATATTATCATCCCGTAGGTGTCGTAACAGGCGACAGAGGGAAAAAATCAGGAGACGGGCAGCAGCGTCTTCCTAATAACAACGAATACTACAAAAATAAAAATTGAACTGCGGTCGCCAACCGCTTTCCAAGCGTCACCAACTACGACAAATAACCCCGCTAGGAAGCAATCTATGGGGGAGGACTATGTTCAGCAGTGGACTTTACTAGGCTGTAACGGAAGTTTTTCTGTTTTTAATTTTATGTTTTTAAGTTATGAATAGAAATAGGCATCGAGAAAAACGTAGTTATTTCCCGATTGCCCCAGATGGAGGGTAATGTTTTTAGTGAGTGTGTATGTATGTCTATTTATTTGGCACGCTCCGTAGACGAAACGGCTTGTTGGATTTCAACATAATGTGAGGTGTAGTTAAATTCTTCTTAACTGTGGGAGTGACATAAGATGTAAAATGTTTCTTTTTTCAGTTAACTTTTTACGCAGTCGAGTTTTTTTACTGTTTCACTTTTGAACTTGTTTCAGATTTCATTTCACGTTAAATTATTACAGAGGTATTGTCTTTGAATTCAAACGTGTTACAGGGCGCTGGCCGTGGCTCTAACATCGACTGGAGGAAGTATTGGAATGCTTGCTTCGGTACCGATCCTCAACCGGCTGCTCGAGGTCAACTGCAGTGCTGGTTTTTATACATTCAGTAGCATTTTTCTTTGTACGTATTTTTGCTCAGTCTCTTCTTTTTTTAATTAGGGTGACAAACGAGCACTCAGTCCACCTGTTGGTAAGTGTGCCCCATAAACTTCTACATTTATCCTCGATTAAGAATCAAAGTGCAGATGTATTGTCACCCCTGAGGACTAAGATGGAGTGCCTCGTATCCAGTAAAAAGGGGTTCCGGTTCTCTACACTCGCCATACGAAAAACAGCAGCTTTTATGCTGGTTTTCTGAGAAAGCGTGGTTCTTCCCCGGCCGATCCGACCTATTCGTGATTCAACCATAATATAGTTGCAATATGGCTCTACCACGTAGAAAAACAATATTTTCTATCTTCGGAGTGATTTAATTACTACATAAAACCATGAGTACATGGCGATAATTTACACTGATTTTGTGGTTTCATATATTTTTATAAAGATATAGAATAAACGTGAAAAATGAGCACCAATGGTAAGTGGATGCTGGTGCCAACAGACGTCTACATCTATCTTCGATTAAGAATCAAAATGCAGATGCGTTGTCATCCCTAAAGGCTAAAATGGAATGCCTCGTTTCCAGTAAAAAGGGCTTCGGGTTCTCTACACTCACGATAACTCACAACACAGCAGCATTAAACTACTATTTCACGTTGGTATTGTGTAACGGCGTTGATTTATTAAAAAATTATTAAAAGCAACATTATTAAAAAAGATTTATTAAAAAAATATGTGTATATTCTCTCATGGCCTTTCCAAGTGGCCTGCATTTCTTAAAATATTTGTCCATACTCATCAAGCTAGGTTGATACCCTCACATTGGTAATGAAGATGAACAGTATCTCCAATGCGAGGGTATGGCCTCTGTGCTCACTAACCCACTCGAACAGTGCGACAAGTATTTGCAATTGTTTTAGGTTGGACATGCTAGCTGTCGCTCTTGAAAACGCCTATATCTCTTCTTCGTTATCTATCTGTGTCTATCCACTGCTAGAAATATGCTTCTCCCAGTGTAGATGTTCTTTTTTATAAAAAAAAAAACGAGCACACAGTCCACCTGATGGTAAGTGGTTACTGTGACCCATAGAAATTTACATCTATCCTCAATAAAGACTCAAGATGCAGATGCGTTTTCACCCGTGAAGACTAAGATGGAATGCCTCTTTGCCAGTAAAAAGGGTCTCCGGTTCTCTACACTCACCATACGAAACACAGCAGCGCTAAGCTACTATTTTACGCTGATTTTCTGTGGGAGCGTGGTCCTTCCCCGGTCGAGCCGACCCATTCGTGCTACAACTATACTACTAATATAGCTGCAGCATGGCTCTACCACGTAAAACCGTTTGCTGTAACCGTTATCGTTTACGAGATGTTAAACCATCGCCTAGAGATCTTGTTAGCTTTTCTTATAGTTGCCTCCCTTCCTATCCCTTCCTATAGTCTCGCCTACTTCTAGCGGTAGTTTCAAAAGGGTTATAAAGTAAAATTATTTTGTTCTGTTTCAGCATCAGCGTTCATAGCTGCGTTTTTACCTAATGACAGTTGTTTATTGAAAAAGAAACTGGAACAGATAGAAAAAAGTACAAAAGATGAAAAATTAACACAGTGCACTTAGTTTTTATTATAGTTTAAGTTAATGTTATGTTGTAAATAAAGTACAATTAAGTTACTATGTAAATCTTTATTTTGTTTATTTATGTAAATAATCGTGTAATTAAAACATGTAATTTGTGAGATTCTTTCCCCAGTTTTTTCAATGGAATAGGAAAATTCCTAGTAATGCCATTTGGTAATCCGATAATATGAACCTTGTAGTGGCGGAGTGGAGTTACGACAGTAAGAGTCGACAGAGGGAAACAAACCAGGAGATGGGCAGCAGCGTCTTCTTAATGACATATAAAAGATAATAAAAATCTACGTTTGCTCAGCCACCTGACGAGTGTGGCAACTAACAAAAATCCTCCCCTATGAGGCAATACATGGGGGAAGCCTATATCCATCAGTAAACCTTTGATAGCCTGTAACGCTACGGTAAGTCATAATATGATCACCACTAACCTACTTAGGTACTCGTATTTTTGCCGCTGAGCATTCATTGCTGTGTTTAGATTTAAAGCAACCGAGAACAAGTTCTACAGGTAGAAGAGATAGTGTGATACAATAAATGTTAGTCCTCTGGGGTGACTTTACATCAGTAGCCAATCTTCAAGTTGTTTGCGCATGTCCCTAGGCTGCTGTAGTCACTATCATGTGAACTGTCTGCTATTATGTCATTAAAGTCGAGGATGATTTTAGAACCTTTTTTTTATAGAATAAGAGTGACAAACGAGCACACAGTCAGTGGTAAGTTGTTGTTGTGGCCCATAGACATCAACATCTCAGCCGTGAGAACTAAGATGGAATGCCTCTTTTCCAGTAAAATGGGTCTCCGGTTCTCTACACTCACCATACAAAACACGGCAGCATTAAGCTGCTATTTTACGCTGGTATTTTGTGAGAGCGTGGTCTTTCCCCATTCGTGCTACAACTATAAGTATATACAATTAACATAGCTGCAGCATGGCTCTATCAAGTTAAAAAGATCTGAGCCATTAAAACAGATCTGCGACGCAAACGACATCTTTTCTATAATGATTTCTTATATTTACGCGAACACTACACATTTAAATAAAACTAATTTTACGGATTTTATCGCATATATTAACTTATTTTATATTCCCGACGTTTCAAGCACTTTACAGCAGCCATGGTCACGGGGGGACTGAGGTGTATGACGTTCCAATGTCATAGTTAACCACGGCTACCTCCAGATCAAAAATTATTAATTTTTTCTACATAAACAACTAATACTATCATCTTTTCTACATAAACAACTAATACTAACTTATCTATCTATAAATATAAAAGAGGATGTCCTGAGTAACTGTCTTACAAGGCAGGTATTACTTGTTATGGAGAATACAAATTTGAATTTTACTTAATGTAATGGTGTTATTAATTTGAAAATTTTTATTTTGTTTCTATATTTATTTATAATGATGTAGAATTTATTTAATACATAATTCTTAATTTTATCTACAATATTAAAAACTATGATAATAAAAAAAAGACTAAAACTAGAAACTTAATTATCATATAGTCCTACCGTGTATCCTACCGGTATCGTGCCAAGAACGCTGGCTGCGTTTCCCCGCTGTATGGCTATACTTAGCCTTTGAGCGAGGAAAGAACCAGCCCTCGTATCACCAGCAGCAACGACCAGCCGCGGATGGAGTTCCTTTAGGAACTTCACCGCACGTGGACCCCACGGACCGATAGTCTCTACAGCAAATGGCACAAATATGTAGTCATCTCTCAGACTCATATTTGCGCCACTTACTCAGTTCAGCTGCCTCTGATGCCGCCCCGGCTTTAAACGAGGTACCCCTGAGATGAGAGGCCGCCAGAGTGTCTACGCAAGTAGCATCCCACACTAGGGCTTTACCTCTCTCCCAAGGGACCAATGTCATACCGTCGGGTCTCTTGCCATCGTCTCTAAATATTCCACAAGGCTCTAAAACCGAGGGAACATTTATAGAGGCAAGAGCCCTTCGGATGACATCGTTCAAAGAACTGTGTCGTGAAAACCTACCAGCGCTTTTCTTACATGAAAGTCCGTGGAGCCCAAACTTGTCGACGCTGCTACCACAGGGGCACTGATGGGGTTGACAAATCGCCGCTCCTAGTCGGATTCCTACGGCAATGCGCAAGCTTTCCCTATCAAGTAATGTGCAGAGATTACTTGATGGTAAAGCGTGTAACCAGTGACTAGATTCCTTAGTCGAAACAGCTAGAAGGCGTGCCTTATCTTGGTCACTATGGAAATTATGAAACAAATCCTTCTGCACGCCCTGTACCAACGGAATATGTTTTACCCACTGTTTTTGTTGGTTAACTTCCAGTGGAATATTTTCACCAGGACAGAGCGTTTGCCATGTCTGCCCTGCCTCCGTAGCAAAGCATCGGTCTACTTTATTATTTAAAATTATGTTACATAAGTCACTGACACTATGCACGGAAGCAAGGAAAGCAGGCAGTGCAACGCTATTTGAAAATTGATGTATATACTATGGAATTACAATTAGTAAAATACACATTTTTAGTTTCTTCCAAAATTCACTTAGGATTTTAAAACTAGGGCGTAGAGTTTGTATGACTTTTTTTTATTATTAAGACGTGTAGCCTAAAAAGCTAGACGTAAAAATCTGAATTTTGCACGGTATCTGTCTTTTTTGACGTACGCCTAGAATAAATAATGATATTGGAAAATTTTACCTCTAAGTGAATGAAATAGAATGTTCCAGTATGAATGTTTTCACGAGGCGATTGACTCGAAACTTGATGAAAGTACTCCGTAAATAAAGTAAATGGATACTGTTTATTTAGAATTTTTTGAATTTTCAAATCATACATATACATAATAAGTAAAAAGACCATTTTTTAATAAAGCTTGGTTACGGAGTCAAGTGAGATAACAAGTTTTTTTTTAATTGCAGAACTGTTGATTAACTTTAGTTATCGTTTATTTGCGTTGGTGTCGGTTTTAAATTGTAAATTACATAGTAAGTGTTAATTAGTAGTTTAGTTTTTATATGTAATTTCCTAAAATAAAATCGAGGAGGATCGTCCCGATCCGGATTCACGGTAATCCTCGTCCTCTTATATTATTGGATAATAGTAACATTGAGCAAAGTAATCGTAAATGACCACAAATCAGTGGTAATACAATTAGCCCACAAAAAAGGTTGATAATAAACACAGCACAACCTTTACCATCTATTCAATCTATATATACCCTGATGAGGATGCTTCACTTTTTATAGTCCATGTAAGTAAAATAGCGAACGACTTATTATCATCTGGAACAATGTTAAAACCTATTAAATTTGGGCACTTCCTTTTTCACAATAATATCAAAAATATTGTTTGCGATGGCGTTGCGATTATTGACATTATATTTTAATGGGTGACTTTAATACGAATCTTCTCAGTGATACTCCTAGATCGCATTCAATTATTGAGTCAGTAAAGTTTTCAACATTTCCACTTTATACCACTCATCACAATCTTACTGCTGATAATACATTGTTAGATTTGATATTTGTCTCCTCAGAAGAACGTGTTGCCTGCCACGTACAGCTCCCTGCTCCAGGTTTCTTGCGACATGACTTGCTGTTTATTTCCTATAAAATTAAACCTCCCAAAGTGAAGCTAGTAATAGTGCGTCTGCGTAATTTTGCTAGGCTAAATGTCGAAGGGCTCCAACATGATGCTTCGCTTTTTAGACTGGAGCGATACATTTAACGCAGAGAGTATTGATGACAAAATTACGACACTTAATTCTCATATTCATAAGCTGTTTGACAAACACGCACTTATTTGTGACGTTAGGTTAAAACGTTCGCCTGCACCATGGATTACTGAAAATATCCGTAAAGTCTAAGCGCGACCAGATGTTTAGAAAATTCAAGGAGAACCGTTGTGAACTCAACTGGACAAAATTCAAAGCTGCGAGATATCGATGTAATCAGATGATACGAGCCGCTAAACGCCGCTATATTCACGATAATATCATGAACTCTTCTATTGCTGATACATGGAAATTTCACCGGACGATCGGGGTCGGTAAACCCTGCAATCATTTCTATAAGTGATCTCAATTTACATTTTTCTTCAACTACCCATATGCAGGCTTCTGTTAAATCAAGTACCATTTCTTATTTGCATTCCATGCCACAATCTCATAACTGCACATTTAACTTTTCTCCCGTTGCTGATGAGGATATAAAAATACCATTTATTTATTGTATTAAGTCTATGGCAGTTGGCTTCGATGATGTGAATAGACTTATGATCACCTTAATTCTAGACTATGTTACTCCTATTATTACTCACATCATTAACCATTCACTATTGACTGGGCATTTTCCTTCACTTTGAAGAAAAGCATTTGTCATTCCGCTGCCCAAAATAAATAAACCCAGTTTTATCTCTCACTTTCGCCCAATATCCATTCTCCCTCTTTATCTAAAGTTCTTGAAGCTATTGTCCACAAACGAATTACAAGTTACATTTTCAAAAATAACTTTTCTAGCACATATCAATCTGGTTTTAGGACTGGGCACAGTACTACCACAGCTCTTTTGAAAGTTCGGGAGATTTGCATACTGGAATAGAGAACTCAAAACGTTAGTTCTAATAGATTTCTCTAACGCTTTTAATGCTGTCGATCATGATATTCCCCTAGCTATACTTTGTCACCTGGGTTTCTCTTCGTCAGCGTGGGACTGGTTCTCCTCATATCTTCGGGATCGTCAGCAGGCAATTTGAGTAGGTCAAATTATCTCTCATTGGTGCTCGTTGTCTGCTGGCATTCCTGAAGGCGTAATTCTCTCTCCTCTTTTTTTTATAGGATAAGGGTGACAAACGAGCACACAGTCCACCTGATGGTAAGTGGTTGCTGCGGCCCATAGACATCTACATCTATCCTCTATTATAAATCAAAATGTAGATGCGTTGTCACCCGTGAGAACTAAGATGGAATGCCTCATTTCCAGTAAAAAGGGCCTCCGGCCACCTGCACTCACCAAGCGAAACGCAGAGGTAAACCTCTACTTCATGCTGGTTTTCT